TCTTCAATAAAATAATATTTTTTATCACATCAATAATCTTATCTTCTTTTTCAACCAAACATTTCCCATCATATCACTATTCAAAATCAATTCTTCCCCCAAAAAATCCCTACCAAACACACACATAATCTCTACCGGACACGTTCTAAATGTTTGGTTGAAAATTTGTGGTTTCTATAATATATGTAGTTAAAATTAATTGTTAACTTGATTTAATTTAAAATTTTAATTTTAATTTATACAGCTAATAGAATACTGACCTCATTAAAATTAGGAAAGAAAAATCTTCTTGAAATACTTGAAGAAAATTTATTACATCATAAATATAAATTAAATTATTTTATTATAATGTACTTCCTGATATATATATTTGTTTTAGAAATAATTTTTATCACATCATAACTTTAAATTTTAATTTTATTTAGTCTCCAAATTTCCAATGCTAAGGATTATTATATAATATATATGCGTTTGCTATTTTCTTATAATAACAGATGTAACCAAATCTAAATCAAGACATAAAATGTAAAGTCTGAAAAAAAAAATATTAATTTTGTTGGTCACTTAATTTAGAGTTTGAATTTAGACGAAACTTCAGACATGGTCTATTTTCTCAGTCACGTCAGTTTGACGGAATTCATATTGGCTAGTGAATATTGATTCTTTTAAACATCATCTATATTTTGTTATGTGTCACGTATTTTTAAGCAATCTATCGATTACAATTAAGATGCCATTAGAATTCAAAATAAAATCAATGTGATGAAAACTCCCATCAAGTGTTGAGCCAAAACTAGACATCAAAGTATACTTATAAGAAGAAAATTTTAATTGCAGATATTTTTTATATTACTCGTATCTCAAGTGTCTAAACAAGCATGATTAATTCTCGAGTTTGTTAAAATCGTTTTAATTTAACAATAGGACTATAACGAATAAAGAACAAGAGCGTACTCAAGAACGATGCTTACATATTGTCAATAAATTTTTGGGATAATTGCAGCTGCGGTCTCAAACCTTTCAATTTTTTGCGCATTTTACCCTAACCTTTGATTTGTGCCAGCAAAGGTCCCAAACCTTTAATAAATATGCGTCGCAGGTCCATTTGGACGGTTTCCATCCAATTGACCGTTAGTCAGCCTTAAATAGTAATTTTGACCAGAATTAGTAAGGGGAAAATGGTAACTTTACATATTTTAACCTAAAATAATTAAAAACAAAAAGAAAAAAATATGGAACTATTTACCTCCTTCTTCACCCCACCCCACCCCACCCCACCCCACCTCACCTCACCTCACCTCACCCTATTGAAAATCTCCCACCACCGCCGCTATATCTCCAACCACCACTGCCCCATTCTAATCCCATTTACCCTAAAAATGTCCAACAAAATTGAAGCCCAACAAGAACCAAAACAAATTGCAAAAGAACCTTAACAAAAGTCGATTACTCATCATCAACAACAGACTCGGTTTTCTCACTTTGGGGCGGAGCAGTGGATCCCACATCCTCCTCCTCCTGCTCCTCCGTCTTGCTCTCCACCTCCGGCTCCTTAACAGGCTTGCTCTCGAGCTCCGCTTCATCAGATCAGGATTTCACAGTATCCAGCATCCTCTTACTGATTTCTTTGGAATAAACTTGAAGAATTTCGATCCCATCATCGTCAGTGGTCGCAGCAGCCCCAGCGGACAAAAACGCTTCCTTCTCGATCTTGGTCATTCCATTGCTTGTTTCTCGAGATGGGCACTTTTGTTTTTCTACTGTATCTCCATTAAACTCAGTTTTTCTAGTGCACTACACATTAATATATATGTATATGAACATTATAAGAGTGATTCTCGAGTTTCTTTAGGGGCTCCATGAAGAAATTATGCCCAGGAAGTAGAAGGCCGAAGAACTGAAGAATTAAGGAAAATCAGATACGCCCATTTGGAGTTTTGATCAGATTTCGCATTGAAGTTGGATTGCAGCCTCAACAGAAGACATTGAAAATAGTGAACATTAAGTTTTCATAGTTTCTTGAATTTTTTTTTTCTTTTATTTTTTTGGAAAAATATCTGAATTTGTGGAAAGGAGGGGGTGGGGTGAAGAAGGAGATGAATAGTTCCATTTTTTTCTTTTCTTTTTGTTTTTAATTATTTTAGGTTAAAATATGTAAAGTTACCATTTTGCCCTTACTAATTCGGGTCAATATTACTATTTTCGGCTGACTAACAGTCAATTGGACGGAAACCGTCCAAATGGACCTGCGACGCATATTTATTAAAGGTTTGGGATTTTCGCTGGCAC